TGTGTGTGTGTGTGTGTGTGTGTGTGTGTGTGTGTGTGTGTGTGTGTGTGTGTGTGTGTGTGTGTGTGAGACTCACCCGGACGCTGTAGGACACACCAGCGGTGCTGACCAGACTGTCAGAGTGCAGCCAGCCTCGGGTGGGTTTGTTGACGAAGGAGCCGTGGCGCGTCCACTCGTCTCCTCCCAGCTGCCCTCCTTCCACCCGCGCCCTCCTGGACGCCCCTCCCAGCCGGTTCATGTCCTGCAGAGGAGGTCGGGGAGGAGGAGAGGGAGCGGTTAGGATGGGAACAGGTGGGTGAAGAGGAGGGGAGGAGCTGGAGCTGCTCCGGTCATCTCCAGAGGACACCACGGCCAGGGTCTGCTGCGACCTGTTGGAGGCCCTGGGGCCTGGGAGGAGTGCGCCCGACACGCCCAGGCGAAGGGAGCGAATGCTGGGGAAGAAGGAGCAGAGGGTGGTGGGGCTGTTCTCGGCCGGGCGAGGAGAGGCGGGGGGCAAGATGGGAGTGAGAGACGAGGAGGAGAGGGAGGAGGGCAAACCGGGGGAGGGGGTCAGGGGGGTGGCGGGGCTGGAAGGAGGGAACGGTGATGGATTGGAGTTGGTTTCATCCGTGGAGCTCAGAGACTCACTCCGAATGTGGGTGTACTTGGTTTTCTGCACAAGCTCCATCATGAATCTACGAGTTTATGTTTGTTTTTTCTCCTACAAGTTCGCTCAGGTCACAAGTGTTTCACAAGTGTTCCTCCCAAAAGGACGCTGGTTCGTCTTGTCGGACCGTCCTCCACCTGTTAGGCAGCCAAAACCCAGCTTCATCCACAGGACGAGAGAAAGGTGAGGCCTCCCAGAGCACGGCAGAACTCAGATGATGGGAAAAGTTTTTTACAGCACCAGTACTCATGATGTCATCGGTTCTTCTGGAAACTTGTTGCTCACTGAATGGATGAGTTCTCAGCTCTCCACAGAGCGTTCACCTTAGTGTCCGACCATGACGTGAAACAGTATCAGCGAGTATTTGGAGTATTTTGTTCTGACGTGATGGCTCCTGAGTGGGAGCCGGTTACTTATCGGCGGCGTGGTGAAGAACCGACAAGAGTGATTGTCTCTGAACGCCTCTCGTGTCTTTACTGCTTGTTTGTGGCGTGTGTGCGTGCACCAGGCGGTAAAGAACCCTGTGCGTGTGTGCTCGATCGTGCCTGACACATGCCTATAAAAATCCTATTAGCAGCCAACGAGGGGATTGTGCAGGCAGCAGCGACGCACAATACACAAGCTGAACGGGTGGACAACAACAAACCCCTGCGGAGCTACAGAGGAGGCCGACTCCAAGACTAGAAGCTTCAACTCTTATTGTGTGGTCAAACCTGTCAGCTCTACTCCCTCTCTCTCTTCCTCCAAATGCTTTCCCGTCCTCTCTTAACGGCCCTGGCTCTCTCCCTCTCTGCCTCCTCTTCCTCCCTCCTCTTCCAGATGACTTCAGGCGAAGCCCCCTTCCCTCTCTCTGAGCTCCTGCCTCCCTGGTCTCTGTCTCCTCTCCTATCCTGGAAGTCCTCTCTCTTCCTCCACACGATGTAGTCGGCCAGCCTCTGCCTCTCCAGCGCCTCCGCCCTCTCCCTCGCCACCACTTCCTCTCTCCTCTTCCAAACGATCTCTGGCTCCCCCTCTCCTCCTCCCTCGATTGCTTGCCCGTTCTCCAGGCTGCCTCGTTTAACCGTCCCACACTACCACGCTAAACCCGGTCTTCACGCCTCTAAAATTAAGGATTGTGGACGGCTAGAGGCTAGACATGGTTACTTTTAGACACCAGTAGAAACTAAAATAAGAAAAAGTTAGTAATTAAGACTGGGCTGACAGAGCTGAGCCCGTCCCTGACCGAGGTTCCTGATATGGCTCAAACAACAGAGTGTTCTGTAAAACTGGACGCCTCGGGTAAGATGCGTTCGTTGCATGAGCACCATTTGTTAAGTTGAGTCTGAGACGTCGTCTGTGTCGAGCACAGTGATGTAACACTGAATGTAGGTCACCGGCTGATGATGACTACAGCTGGGCTTGTTGCAATGCTAACGAGACCAGGAACCTGCTGTAAAACAGCAATTATGCTGAGTCAGGCTTGATTTTTAGTAATCTTTTCCTGTTAAATCAATAAATCAAAATCAAATCAATTGGTCCGTTTTGAACTTTCACCCCAGGGTTCCCTGAATGGTGGCTCGTCGAGCGTTGAACCTACACCCCTGCAGGAACGAAACTCACTCAACACCGTAATCTGTTACGTCTACTCTGCTGTAGCCATTTAACAAACCCAGACTGTAGATGTTTACCTGAGAAGAGTGTCGACACAGATGCACCAGATTCAAATAAGCCAAGAGTTAAGATTTAAAGGAAAGTTTCCCGTCTTTGCTAAGGCTTATCAGACAGGTTAGCTCTCAGATCTAGTGTCTAGACACCGTGCATCATCTCCTTTTCTGCATAGTCCAACCTAAAGGACAGTTTGTTTACATTAACAGTCTGTCACAAAACCAAAACCCCACAAATCAAAAGTTTGACCTCAACAGGAGGCGAGGCTACACCTCAGTGCTGTAGAGGCACTATTCATATGTTTACTTCTACAATGATACAGATAAAATAAACTAAGGTTCTCAGTTTGGCACCAATATTTCAGTAATGCCAATTAAGATCAGGTGTTTTTCTTTATCACATGGTAACATTTGAGAACGGAGCTACGCCTGAAGCACAGCGCTCAGTGGGCGCCGGCGAAAGGAACAGTCGCCCACACCGGTCTAGCACCACAGAGGGATAGGTCTAGCAGCTCCAGCTAGCCATCCATCTGGACTTGGCCAGAAAGCACCATGGAGGATCCAGTTATGCTAACGCACTGCCAGCTAGGCTGGGATGATCTCCAGAAAGCTGTAAAAGAAGTACATCTGAAACAAAACTACAGACACCCTGTGTTGGGACAACGGAAAAGGGAAAACAGTCCGTCACATCGTCTAAAAATAACGTTGAGCATAGAGAGCACTTCAAAAAAGGCAACAGATCTAATATAAAGAGAGGAAACTCCAGGTGTTCCTGAACTAAATAAAAACAAAGCTGTGATAAAGTCAATGCAGCCCGGGGATGTTTCAGTGAACACAGTGTAGGTCAGGTGACGACACAGGAAATGACACTTGAAGAGGAAATCCTGAGTCACCAAACACGTTTACGATAATAAACGACCCCAAACAGAACAGCTAATGATTGGTAATTAGAGGCATCGGAGGGGCCGAGCAGCTGCTCCCACTGACATGTACCAGTGAAATCAGAGTGCTAATCTCATTAATCCAGTCAGGCCTGATAACAGCACGCTGCTGGCTTGACGAATGGAAATGGCTGTTGTTGATAACGTAGATGGAGCTGGACTCCTAGCAGACAAACCCAGAACGAACAAGAGTGGACGGGTCACCTGAAACCACCGGAGAACTCAAACCCACAAACACAACAAAAGAAATAAAACTAATTAATTAAAACAAACCCTGTCGTTCATTAAAACAGACCCACAAACTGACGTAGATCCATCTAATCCACTGGGTCTTATCTATGGAATATCTACAAGTGGTTAATGGGACAGCACCAGTTTTCAAAAGACAAGATTTTCTTCTTTTTTTTTTTTTTACATCTCGTCCTGTCTGCTGCCGCTGCCCGTTGCTATGGCAACAGACGTTAAAAGAGATGCCTAGAGGACACGAGCCGAAAAAGTCCCGACAGCAGCAGAAATCTTCAGAGATAACCGCCTTTTTTTTCAATCACGAGGCGAGCAATTAGCTGTTGCATCAAACGCTCGACGTGAGAGCGCTTTGTTTGTTTGTTCATCTAAGAGCAATAAAAAAAAAGACTTGTAGAAAAGATCAATAGAGTTCAGGAAATGATCAAAGTTTGACCGGCATCACGCCAGCCATCAAACCAGATCAATGTTGACGTCCCAGACTGGCTGGACGTGTTTGACAACAAGCAGGAAACAGACTGGATCTGAACAGAGCAATAATCACGCTCTTATTATAAACATGTCCAAAAACCAAACTGTGTTAGGAAAACTTGATTTAAAAAAACAAACAAACAAAAAAGACCTGAATACTGAGTGCAGCTGCTAACTAAGATGATTGTATAACATCCTGCAGACTCTAGGCTCATAAAAAATAGAAAATCAGAAAAGGTAACCTGGTTTTTGCAGAAATAAGAAAGTGATTCAGAATAATGTAACAAACTTGCCCCTGCAGCTCTTGTTTTTTTAATGAACAGTGAAACAGTAGTTCATTGTTTTTTGGCTTTAAAAGCAAAATTCATGGCCATTTGTTTAAAGCTGGGTTTTAAAGATTCATTTCAGATTCCTGTTACTTGTTGGAACAGAAACAAACTGTTCGATCATCTGTCTCATCCTGTCCTCCACTCCCCAGAAGAAGAAGAAAAGAAGAAAAAACGTGCTTCTCCTCTCATCCACTCTTCTGCTTGATCAATTCACAAAGTCAGCGCCGCTCCATCCATCGTCTCCTCCGGGTTTTTGTCTTCTTCTCTTCTCCTCGTCTCCTCTGTCTTCAGCAGACGGTGAAACGGCAGCGCTGCCAGGGCGAAGCGGGGCACTCCTTCATTCTGCTCCTCTTCATGCCCACTTCCTTCCACCTCTGTCTGCTGGAGGATCCAGAGCACGCCGTGTGCCCTCCCCTCCTTCCTGGTCTGGGTGGTGATGCTTCCTCCCATTTGCTCTCTTACATCTCTCTCTCTCTCTCTCTCTCTTTCTCTCTCTCTCTCTCTCTCTCTCTCTCTCTCTCTCTCTCTCAGACACACGCCTGCGCTCTCCCCATCATCTTTTCTCCCATGATACCTCCTTCCTGTCCCCACCTTACCCACCCCCCTCTGCAGCCAGAGTCATTTAGAGGCGTACATGTGCATTCAGAGATGCTGCACGTTAATGCACATGTTTGGGGGGGGGGGGGGGGGGGGGGGGGGGGGGGGGGGGGGCAGGAAGGAAGGAAGGGAAACGAGGGAGGAGTTGTGCATTTGTGTATCTGGGGAGAGAACGGGTCGTTCTTGTTGAATATTCAAAACTCCTCCTTTATTCAACCTGAGAAACAGTTTAAAGAGTGACAGGTTGTGTCTCTAACCTGGATGAAAGCAGACAAACACAAATATGCATCAAAGCTTTGAAGAGTTAATGTAACACTTGTACAATAATTACACCTTTTTTATTTAAAGGGATTTATGATTAGTTGTAACATTAGACTTTATTTGATAAACATTTATTTTAACTGTAAAATAAAGACTAAAAATACTGTAGGACGTTTAGTTTTTATAATTTTTAAAAATATATTTTAACACGGACGGAGCCATTTTATTTCCACACAAAGCATTCTGGGTAAATGATGACGTGGATAGGTCCTCGGTGCGAGGCTGCTAGCGAGCTATATCCACCCTGAAGGTTAATCTTGGACAATATCTGATGATCGACTCTTTTAAATGAAACCAGAGAGCGTTGACAGAGAGGAGAAGGTAGAAATGACTCAGCCTGGAACTGAAAATATGGATGGAGGACAACAGAGCTGCTTCATGGAAGAAGAACCTCAGATTAGCATGCTCCGACGCTATATGTATTAGCTCGGTGCTAGTGCTTCAAACAAGCTAACCTGAGGTCCTCCATCCATATTTTCAGTTGCAGCTGAGTCATTTTTGTGTTCCCCTCTCTGTCATGTGGATGGAGGACCTCAGTGACGAGAGGAGAATGTGTAGCGCTGAGCTAATACATATATATGGTGATAGCATTGGGGCTAATGCTAAAGCTAACAGGCTAATCTGAGGTTCTTCCATGAAGCAGCTCTGTTGTCCTCCATCCATATTTTCAGTTCCAGGCTGAGTCATTTCTACCTTCTCCTCTCTGTCAACGCTCTCTGGTTTCATTTAAAAGAGTCGATCATCAGATATTGTCCAAGATTAACCTTCAGGGTGGATATAGCTCGCTAGCAGCCTCGCACCGAGGACCTATCCACGTCATCATTTACCCAGAATGCTTTGTGTGTGAATAAAATGGCTCCGTCCGTGTTTATTTTACAGTTAAAATAAATGTTTATCAAATAAAGTCTAATGTTAGAACTAATCGTGGATCCCTTTAAGCATTTATTACTGATGACATAAAGCTAAATAAGGTGTAGTTATTATAAAGTGCCACTGAGCAGGGAGAAAGAAAGAAAATATTAGTTTAGATTGAGCTCAACACCAAAGTGTATCTGACGCAGCAGCAGTGACCCTGCCCCCCCACAAAGACCACCTGCTCTCAGTCAAAATCAAAGTGTGTTTCAGACTGACACGAATCACCGTGCACAGTGATGTGATTGCAGTGACTCCTGGTGAAAACAACCAGTGAAACCTGGTGACACACAGCAGCTCAGGGTTGATTTTCTGTAATTCTCTGAAAAACCACAAAGCAACAGTTCTGTTCCTCTGAAGTGAGATTTTGTGGAAAAGGGTTTTGATGAAGGACGATTACTGTACCTCCTGCAGCAGGAAGCTCTTTCAACGACTCGGTGGTTTAGATGCTGAGTCATCCAAAATGTGTCAGATTAAAAGAAAGCTTTAAAAAAACAAAGCAAATGAACTTGTTCTGCAGTAGAAGGTGTTCTGTCATGAATCCAGAGCTTTTTGGAGTGTGATTTCCCAGCTTCAATCTACGAGATGTTTTAATTTACGTACACGAGCTGAACTAAAATGCAGATAAATCTCCCCGAGCCCCCTCCTGAGGGTCATTAGGGTCTCTGTCTGCCTCACAAAGACACATTTTAGGTCTGTAATTTCAGCTTTTCTAAACCTCTTTGGAGCATTGGGCAGTCATTTTCACTTTAATTCGTTCCTTAATGAATGTGACTAAAACAGACCCTAATGACCCTCTGGAGGCAGAGGAGACACATTCATCTGCAGGAGAGTTTTAGCTTGGACTAATGCAGAGTCTCTTGGAACTCCACACTTCAGTTTTAGATGCAAAAAGCTCCCGGATGAGAAGAAAAATAACTCTTACATAAAACTGAAGTCCAGTTGCTTTTTTTAACATTTAGGAATAACCCAAGTTAATTCTGACCATTGCTAGCTAATAACTAGCTCAACAAGCGCAGCCTAAAGCTTGGGCTAGCTGTTGCTCTCACTAAAAAACACAAATATATTTAGGAACAACACTTTTCCTCTGAAACGAAGCAGATTAGAGTAAAACTTTAATTTTATTAGCTTCAAAGTCTGGTATTGTGTTTCAAATTATTTTTGTTAAATATTTTAATTGGACAACTTGGTTTCTAAATAAAAAAACTAACATCAAAAACAAAACTATTTAATTTGGTATTTAGTTTGGTAATTTGGTATGTATGTAAATCTGCCGTCACTTTTAGGAAATTGCACAAGAGGTGCCACCTTAAATCTGACCTAGGGCCCACAACAGGGGCGGAGCCACAGGAGCATTGGCCCCTGCTGAAATCTGATTGGCCCCCTGAAGTGCCCCTGTCCTGTCACTCATCTGAGATCAATGATGGTGGGTGCAGTTCCATGCTCAAACACTAGAGGCACTAATGAGTCAAACTTGAACAATTTTGTAAAAAATATCTTTCAACTGGCAAACAATGGCTTCATGTTCTCACATGCTTTGACAATATTTTATCCATGTACGGTCAACATGCACATTATAATGATAAGGAGAATTTAAGCTTTTTTTAATAACATTACATTACAATTGTTTGAATGTATGTGACCGGTTAAATTTATTTATTAATTTATTTATTGAATTTATACTTGAGGAAAAAGGGGCAGATGTTATGATTTTTTTCTTCTCTCTGTCGCCTTTCATTAAATTGTATTTGTGCTCTTTTTTATTGTACATAGAATTACTTTTGTTTTTTTTTAAGAAATGAATAAAGTTTGAAATAAAATAAATAAAAATGTATGCACCTTACAAAAAACCAAGGATTTATGTGCAAGGATGTTGAACAAAGACTTGGCCCCTCTATGAATATTGTGGCCCCTAATTCAGAAAAATCCTAAATCCGCCACTGGCCGACCCTGATGGCAGGGAATCGAACCTTCGACTTTTAGGTCCCAAGACCACTACCCTACCACTGCAGCCCAGCTTGTAAAATAAAAAACAGCTTGGCAGATTACAACTGGATTTTTTTTTAATACAAGCCAATCTGCAACAGGTAAGACATTGACTGCTCACAACTTTTATATAGAACCTCATTAGAAAACATGTCGGAGTGTAAACTCATTCTGTTTATAGCTCTGTCTCTTCCACTCATTCATAACAAACAGATAAATTATTTATTCCTCACATTTCAGGGAGGAAACCATCTGAACTTACAGAGAGCCTGCAGCTTCCAAAAATAACCACAAGCTCTTTAAAACGCTTCACGGAGGTAAACGTCACTGCCAGGACGCAAACTGGGTCCACCAGGGGGGTCCTCAAATAATTACACTAAATGGTTAGTTTGGTTTTTATTTTTAAAAATGTGTGGAAAACAATGAACTAAGAAAACAAACATAATAAACTAAACAAAAATATCTATTTAAATGGCATTTAGGGGTTAAAATGACAATAAATGATCTTTTAAAACAGTTTATGAGGGGGTCCCTGGAATTTTGTCACCCTTGTAAGGGGTCCGCAGATCTAAAACGTTTGAGAACCCCTGATTTAACCTAAACTGGTGGTACAGTCTGAGCTGCAGGAGGACAAGTTGTTCTTAGTTTCATACAACTGAAGAGCTGAAGTATTTACCTGAGACTGCATAAAGACTTTTATTCTTTAAAAGACTGTGTTGCTTAGAAACTGCTCACACTTAAATAGAGCTAAAACAAATACAAGAGGTTTATAGTAACCATGTACATTTACTTCCTTACAGTACTTAAGTTTGTTTTGTTTTTTGAGGATCTGTAATGTCTTTTTTATTGTAACTTTATTTTATTACATTTAAAATGTAAAAATAATACCTTTACTCCTTTACTTTAAATTTAACACCTCGTTACATGACCAGAACTCATCATGAAACGAGTTATTTATGGACTCTAAAAATATAAAAGTGTTCAATTTACTTAAACAAGTTATGGTAACCGGTTCCACTAAACCAAGTAAAGTAAACTGCTCATTTCAGTTAACTTGGTTTAGTTCAGTGGTTTAGTTCCAGTCCTCGTGGTCCACTATCCTGCATGTTTTAGTTGTTTCCCATCTCTTCTGCAGGTCTACAAGTTCTGCACAAGCCTGTCAATCACTCACTGATTTAAATCAGACGTTCAAAAGCAGGAAAATAACTACAAACATGCAGGATAGTGAGCCATGAGGACTGGAACTGAGAACCGTGTTTTAGAATTAGGGGACATAAATATTGAGTTAGTGCTTTAGAATTAGGGGACATAAATATTTGAGTTAGTGCTTTAGAATTAGAGGACATAAATACTTGAGTTAGTGCTTTAGAATTAGGGGACATAAATATTTGAGTTAGTGCTTTAGAATTAGGGAACATAAATATTGAGTTAGTGCTTTAGAATAAAGGGACATAAATATTGAGTTAGTTTAGAATTAGGGGACATAAATATTTGAATTAGTGCTTTAGAATTAGGGGACATAAATATTTGAGTTAGTGCTTTAGAATTAGGGGACATAAATATTTGAGTTAGTGCTTTAGAATAAAGGGACATAAATATTGAGTTAGTGCTTTAGCATTAGGGGACATAAATATTTGAGTTAGTGCTTTAGCATTAGGGGACATAAATGTTTGAGTTAGTGCTTTAGGGCTAGTGGAACTAATTTAAATGAGTGCTGCCCACCGATATCAAACACAAACTGAAAAGAAGTTTTCACTTGATGGTGAATCGAGACTTGACCTAATCGTGCATTTTCTGGATATTGTTTTAGTTCGAGAGGCAACTCCTTCACTGCTGTGTCACACCTTGTTTCTGATTGGCTGCTTGCAGCATTTAAACATCTTACCATGTAGTCCATCGATCAACACAGGCTGCCTGAAAGTCAGCATAAAAGACACCAAAATGCACATCAGCACACACAAAACACAGGCAGCCAATTACACACATGCTCCGATTACGCCCTTGCCCCCCACCCCTGCAGTCCCAGCATGCTTTGCTCCAGGATCAGCTGTAGACAGCATCACGGGCCTGCCTCCATATCAGCGGCGCATGCAGCGATAGAGCGGTGCTGAGTGGGAGAAAGTAATGGAAAGTGAAGGAAACACAAAGCAGCAGTGACAGGAGAGGAGCTGTAATCCTGCGTGCGTGTTGAAACACACCGCTGTGGAATGAAAGGAATTAGCTGCGAGGACCACGAGTCTCAGGAGGTTTCTGCCTCAGCCTGCCCGGTTAGCCAGTGTTTATTTTATTTCTCTGAGCGCTGACACGGGTCTGAGACACAAGCATCCACCGAGGTTAAACAAACTGTAAAAACTCAAACTGAGCTGCAGATCAGCTGTCATCTGATCTCCCTCTGTAATCTGGTCTGACCCGTTTAACTCAGCTCTGCTTTGCACCAAGTCAACAAATATACAGACGAGTTCACCAGCTCAGGATGTGACCTCTTCCTGTCTGCCATTAGAGCTTTTTCTTTTTCTTTTTTAACAAAAACAGCACCTTTTGGAGTGAAGAAAAAGAGAAAACCCTGAAGGAATTAGTCTCGTTAAACAGAAACCTGTGCTGAGGGTAAACATTAGATCAGCCGGATGTTGGGTCTGCAGGTTTCACAGCAAACATGTCAGACGGCTATTTTGGTTCACGCCAACCCCTCCACCCACCAGCCCCCTTTAACCACAATCCCTCATCTCCGTCCATCGTTGTCTTCCTGCTGAGACCGGACCACTCCACCAAACAGTTTCTGTTCTGAACTGCTGTTTGTCTTTGCAAGCTGTTTATAATGCGCAAAAAATACTTAAAAATTATTTAAGATTATATTTCAGGCAGTTCATTCAAATGATCCATAGAAAAGATATTTATTTATACATTATATTTTGAAAAAAGGCAATAGTTGCAAATATTTTAACCAAAGCACACAGCTGCCATTTGTTCCATGTGATTTTGTTCAATAAGTTTACTTAAAAAGAAACAAGATTATTTATCACTATTATCACTGTTTTCAGTTTTTACTCTTTTCCATCAAGCTTAGGATGCATTTAATTGTTTTAAAACCACAAGTTTTGATGAGAAGATGATGTAAAATTAGCTGCCTGTAAACCAAATTAGGGCTGAAACGATTCTTTGAATCATTCAATTACAAAAAATCTTCATAAAAATACACACTGTTATAATCAGCGCACTTTCGTTTGGCCGGAATGTTATTTGTGTTACACAATGCTACGATGTTAGCGCTACCGCTAATGGTTACACTGTCCACATGTAACGCGTGTATGCTTGCTAAGAGCTATACTTTTATTTAGCTTTAGAAGAAAACGGAGTGCCGAAACAAAGCGCCCAGAAAACGACAAATTATAAAAATCATGAGAACATTTAAAACTAAACAGAAAAGATGACAACACTGCACATACACAACGTGTCTGCACCAGAACACAAACACTGCTGCATGTAGCGAACACATCCAGAGGTAACAACAGGTGTTTGTTTACGTTCACTTTGTTACCTTAATCTGTGATAATCTGTCAGATTACAGGTGTACAAGGAGGAGGTGTATTTAAACTAACGTTATTTGGGCTGACTAATCATGGTGACCCGGCAGGCTTTTATTAAACAGTGTGTAAGTTGTGTGATTAAAAACAAGACTTACTGTAAGTTTGTCACATTAAAATAAAAACACAACAACAGATCGACAGCTTGAGCTGAAACATGTTTATTTGTTGATGTTTTTATCTTAATTTAAATGAGATACTTGGAGTAAATATTTCAATTTTAAAAGTATTTATAGAAGACAGATTTTTCTGCTGTTTATAACTTTAACCTTCATTACTACTGTTATATTTGTTTGTAGCTAAGCAGTCAAGACTAAACCTTTAAATGGACCCTGCACCAACAGTTTTAATAAAAATATGAATTTTTTTCTTACAATTAACAAGTGAACTCTACAAAACTCAATTGCAACACCCAAATGTTTATTTTACCCTTTTTACTTCTTACATTTCTAACAAAAAAAAGACGTCCAGTTTTACAATCCAGAACAATAAATTTACAGCATTTAGATTTTTCTGTGATGTTAAAAATGATTCAGTGACAGATTGTTTTTAATTAATGCCTCCTCAAACCTCACATATATAAATACAAACAAATGGAGCTTCAAATGTACGAATTAATACAACTGGTGTCATTTTACTTTGACTGCAGCAGGGTCATCAGCAGGTGTAGATTACCCCTTCATAATATGAAATAATTATATTTCTCATAAAATAAGCTTAAATAATGACTGCAGAACATGACAAATTTTTAAAATATCCAATTACTCGATTAATCGTCAGAATAATCCATAGTTTAATCGATTACTAAAATAAAACTGCCTGGGCCTCTACATTCAGACGATTAAAACATTAATTTATTTATCTTCTATGTTTAACCCTAACCTGACCCCACACACACACACACACACACACACACACACACACACACA